GTCCCTGGGGGCGGGAGGTGGTGGTGGGGGGGAACCCAAGTAGCCATTCCTGCAGACTTGCAAACCTCGGAGTCTGTGGGGCAAACGGCCCATGCGCGACCTGTGAGCACATTCTGAGGGGCCACCCTCCTGTTCTGAGGGGCCCGAGGGAGACAGCATCCTGCTGCCCACAGTGGGGACCCGCTCGGTGACTCACCCTTGAGTTGGCTTGTCCTCATTCCCCTGCCCCCACTTCTGTTTCTCAGGACCACTTCCCCAAATCAGCCACCTGCTCACAAGCCCTTGTCTCAAGCTCTGCTTTGGGGGGAAACTGAGGCACTTACCGTTTTTAGTTCTTTATTTCTATACTTTATTGGGAAGCTTTTGTCTCTACTTGCATTTCAGGATTTGGGCAGTTGAAAGAGCCTGGCACTGTTGACTCTATTCATTTATTTCACGAACATTTTTAGGGTGACTACCATATGCTGTCCCACAAGCTAGGGCCGGAGAGAGAACACGCGGGATTCTTCTTCAAGAAGGCTGTCACTCGGTGCCAAAACTACGGTCCACTAAAAACTCATGAGATGTCGGGACTTGCTCCAAGTGCTTTGTAACCCTTGCTTCCCTCGATCTTCTGAGAGGAAGGTGTTATTTTTCTCATCCTTACAGATGAGAACATCGAGATTTGGAGCTGGGTAGGAACTCACCCAGGGTCACACCATTACTCTACGTAGAGAATGTTCGGGTTGCAGAGGGGGGATTAGGAGACTGGTTTGGGGCATTGAAGTCCAGCTGGGTGGCTGGGTGTGCTCATAAAGTTCTGAGTGAGTGGCTTGCCCCAGAGGCAAACTACAGAGCAAGAAGGGGTGAGATGCGGTGTGGAGTTGGGGGCAGTGTGGGCTGGCACTGCGGGGGGATCTGGTCCTTTTAGGGCAGGAAACTGGATGTGCTCCCGGTGAAGGGGGCAGAGAGTGCATCCCTAGTGACCTGCCAGCTTCCCCTCCATGACCCCTTGGCTTCCTGTGCCCCCAGGCCCTGCCTTTGCATCCCTAGAATTAGACAGGCTTAATCAGGAAATGGCTGGGGACCGTGGCCCAGGTCTGTGCTCTAATGTGGAACAGGGGCAAGAAGGGCCCCTCTCCGGTTGGGGGGCGTGAGTTCCTCCCCTGCCTGCATTTCAGAGGGGGGTCAGGCCTTTCTTAGCATCAGGCAGCAGTAAGTGCATCTATGTGTGGACGGGCCTTTCTAGGCCTCGTGAGACATTGCTGTTTGTCCTAAGGGGGGCTGCCATCTTGAGTAGGACTTGTGTTGAGAACATGGTCTATGCCCCTAGTAAGGACGAGTTCTCTGCTTTCGTGGAAGCTGACCACTGATCAAAATCCAAGTATATAGAAAGCTATAGGTTATGTTTTAAAACAACCTTGGCTTGGGGGCACCTGGGTGGCTCAGTTGGTTAAGTGCCCAACTCTTGATTTTGGCTCAGGTCATGATCCTCAGGGTCGTGAGCTTGAGCCTCATGTCGGGCTCTGCACTGGGCGTGGGGCCTGCTTGAGATTCTCTCTCTCCCTCTGCATCCCCCCACCCTGCCCCGGTCGAACACGCTCTCTCTGTGTCTCTAAAATAAACAAACAAACATACCAATAAAATGACCTTGCTGGATTCACCCCTAGAAAGCAAATATAGCTGCTTCTTCGGGCAGTGTGGGGTGTGAGTGCCGCGATGTCCACCTGAGGCTGGAAACCCCTGACCACTGCAGGCGTCTGGGTGAACAGCAGACAGAAAACTTCCAGCACAGAGCTGGCTAAAATATGTCATTCCTGATCCTCTTCCTTTTCCTCATTTCTCCCTCCCGATAGCCTCTCTCTCCTCCACTTCCTCTTTTCCCCCGGTTCTCTACAAGATTTGTTTCTTCTTTTTTTGGAGTCTTCCCCCTTCTTCCCCAATCTGTCCAAAATCCAGCTCAGGAAAATCAGGAACTTCCACAAAATGAGTCACATTGACTGTAAATAGCTAATAATGTCTTAAAAAAAAAAAGAAAAGACTTAGGTCAAAAGAATAATTCTCTGTGGGTGGAAGGTGAGATTTCCTCTATCAGCTATCAACTAAGGGGCTACCTAGTGGTCAGGTTAAATTTCTAATACCCGGTAGCAATTGGGATAGTCCCCACCTCAATGACTTAAAACGGCAAAGACTTAGTTTCCACTCAATGCTACGTGACTAGCAGGGGCATCTAGTGTCTCTGCTCTGCGTTGTCATTGTCCTCACTGTCCAGTGCTCATATGCCGTCGGCAAGTGGCTTGGCTGGCCTGGCTTGATTGGGGTGGGAAGCCGTTGTGCTCGTTCAGGGAGGGAAGGTGCTTATTGTTGATGGGTGACGCAATCTACCAGCGATCCCGGCGCGCGGCCCATCCTCAGAAACCTGCCCCTGCTGTGGCACGTGCCCCCTGCAGCCCCGCAGGCTTGGGGGCAGCGTTCAAGGTGGCAATTCTGTTAAAAGCAAAGCAGGGCAGGTTTGGAGCAAGGGATTGGTGCGGAAGTGACCTGCCCCTGCCTCCACTCATTCTGCTCGGCCAGGGGTGGCTCTGCCAACCCTGGGAGAGGTTCTGACCACGAGGCCCGGCTCCCTTCACCTGTAAAAGAGAGCCCCTGGCTGCAAGCCCAGCCATTCGTTTCCTAGAGATAAATATTCATGGCGGGGGTGTGGCCTGATATGGAAAATAACGGAGGCATGTTAGTGGGGTGGGGAGATGAGCCAGGGACCCCCTTTGTGGTCAGTTGCTTTCTCCCAGTCCTGCTGCCCACATTCCTCCCGCCACCCATTCGTCATTTACTGAACACTCGCTCTGTGCTGGACACTTGCTAAGCTTGGGTAACATAAATTCAGCTGATACGGTCTCTGCCTTCAACAATCTCGCAGTCTAACAATCAAAATATATTCATGTCCCTTTTCATAAGATGCTAGATATTTACTTTTTGGCAGTGAATAAATAAGGCATCTGTTACAGAATGAATTGTGTCCTTCCCCCCCGCCCAAATTCAGTGCTAACCCTCAATGTGACTGAATTTAGGGAGAGGGCCTTCAGGGAGGTAACTAAGGTTAAATGAGGCCCTAAGAGTGGGGCCCTAACCTGATAGGACTTATAAGAAGAGCCAGCAGAGAGCTCTCTGCGTGCGCGCCCAGAGGAAAGACCAGGCGAGGACCCAGAAGGTAGTTCTGTGCAAGCCTGAAAGAGAGCTCCCACCAGAAACCAATCCTGGCACCTTGATCTTGGGCTTCCAGCCTTCAGAACCGCGAGAAAACAAATGTCTATTATGTAAGCCCCCCAGTCCGGTATTCTGTTACGGCGGCCTGAGCCGACTAATACGGCATCCATTCTAAACTTGTGACTGAGGCCCTGGGCCGGATCCACTCTTTTGTCTGTACGATATCATTTTTATGACTAATGATGACACCAAATGCACGTGTGACCCTTTGTGGTGCTCAGGATCTTCTCACTTTTGTTCTCTAAGTCAGCCTTCCGCACGACGTCCTGGGTTTCATAGAGCAGTTAGAAGTGTCTTCAGATCGTGGAGAAGGAAACCAAATCCCAGAGAAGCAGTCGGCTCCGGGTCGTGGTGGCTGGACGTGCTGAAGCATGACATCATGCGGGTGAAGGAGTCAGTGGGCGTGGCAGGAACTGGATCATGTGTGGAATCTGATTTGAACTTTCGGACTGAGACCATCATCCCTCCCACGGCCTGCCTCGTTATTTAGGAAAAGAGAGAAATATCCTTTCCCTGTCAGTTGGAACTACTGGAAAAAAAACACCATCAGTCTGATCTCAGTCCATGAGTTTGTGCTGGGTCATGAGGTCGCCAATTCCCACCTTCCCTCCTAGGTGTCATCTGTTCCCTCGTTGTCCCCAGGTTGAAGAGCTCCCTGGTCACTGGCTGTAGGAGGGAGCGTCGCTGGGGAGGCGTGCTTGCCCCTCATTTCAGGAGGGCTCTCCTTTGGAAGGTGCGGGGCAAGCCAGGACTCACGGACTTCGCACCAGGTCACCTCCTGCCCTTTCTCTCTGGCCCCCAGAGGTCCCATCTTGGTGACACCCCAGGAGCTCTGCTTTGGAGGCTGGAGGAGCCTGAGGGCTGGGGGTCGGGTGAGGCAGGGAGGTGGGGAGGACAGGATTTGCTGTTGTCGGCCCGGGGTCTGTCTCACTTCTCCCCACCCCGTCTCCTAACCCCTCTTCCTCACTTACTCTCCCCGCTTCACTGTTTCTGTCTCTCCGTCCTCATCCAGCTTCCTTCCTGTTCTCTTCTCATGGATTTCACTTTGAATTATAAGGCCTTCGGAGACATGGAGCTCAACCTTCTCTGGCTGCTGCCTTGAGCTCAGAGAGACAAAAGGATCTGTCCTAGGGCAGCCAGGTGAACGCAGAGGACGCAGAGTTCCTGGGCTTCCCTTCCCCCTCACGCTACCCCGTGGAGGCCAGCGTGGACCACAGACGGACGCAGGTGGCAGGTGGACAGCCGTCCCTGCTCCCCGCTTCCACTGCCACCCTTCCCGCTCTCTTTCTCTCCCTATCCTGCTTCTACACCGGAGGTGCAGTTGGGTTCAAGATTTCCACCCTCTATCCAAATGCTGGAGGTGGGAGAGACTGATGAAATCACTTACACTAAGGCTTAGCTTGCCAAGAAGACTTAGAGCAGGGACGGCAACTCATGTCCTCTCCGGCACCAGCTCTGGCGGGCTCATAGTGTGCGCCTGGAGGGCCGTACTGAGAAGGATTCAGAGGTTGATCCGGCTTCATGGGGGAGTGATGACTGATGACTGGCTGGTAGCGTGCGTTATCACCTCCAGAGAGGTCTGCTTGGTAAGGGTCTGCAGACAGAGCCCTAAGTGAAAGAGTGTACCTCTGGTGGTTGAGTTTAGATACCATGGAGCTGAAGAGAGGAGCTGACTCATCTGTGTGCCGTGGAGGCCTACGTACGGCCAACCTTCCCCTCTCCCCGCTTCTAGCCAGACACACGAAGAAAGACCCAAATCCCAAACTGCATTTTTATTATTTTTTAATAAACTTTATTCTATATTACAAATAGGTTTTTTTTTTTTTGTTCTGAACTGCAAAATAGGAATGCCTTATATTTACATACACAGGTATACAATTAATTATAACAAAGGTACAGAAGCTTGCCTTTACCAAGTTACAACTGGGCTCCAATTTAAATAGCATAGGTTTCCTTTTTAAAAACTTTATTTTTTTAAATCTTTTTTTTTAATCTTACTAGGATACTCTTTTTTAAAAATCAAAACCAGAAGACCCTCTTCCTCTACTAGATTCCATCCACCTTTGAGGCTCATTATTAACACTGTTGTCTAAAGATATGTTTTGCTTTGTTCTAACAAAGGGCCAGTGTTCAAGGTGGGAGCTTTATGGAAACAGAGGTGGGGTGGGGCTGGAAAGGGGTGACCAGAGCAGGAGAGACCTGCCCTACCTCCTTCAACGGCCTCTCGCCGAGACTCAAAGGCCTCCGCCTGTTCCTCAAACCACCCGCTCATCCTTCCCTGTTTCTCCTCTTCCCTCCAGCATCGGACTTGACTCTGGGTTGTGAGACCAGGCCAGACTCTGTTCCACCTACGCCTCCGCTCACTGAGCCGTTCTCTGTTGCTGGTACCCTGGAGTTGCTGGTTACTATGGTAACTGGGCAGGACCCTGCTGGAAGAGATGGGCTGGTCCTTACCAGCTCAGGTGGGGAGGAGGCCAGCTGCACCCAATCCTTCCTGTCCATGTCAGGGCCTGGGGGTCTTGTTCTTGTTCAGCATCGCCATCGCATGACTAAGCAAGGACCTCAGGCCTCAGGGACACCAGACCCAGGCAGGGAGTGATGGCGGGGGGAGGGTCATCTACTCTAAAACACAAAGTCATTGGTTTCCAAATGGAAACAAGATTCTTTGAGGTAAACTAGCTTTTCTTTTTAAAGAACAGAAGGTTTAACGAGCCAACAGCTGGGGAGAACATCAGGGAAGGGAGGAGGAAGGAGAGCACACGAGACGCGTATCGCATCTTGGTCATGGGCCTGAACCTCATCCACTAGTCCTATCTGGTAAGCGGTCGTGCTTGGTTAAGTGTCCTTTGCACTGCTCTTTAACTGTATCCTCTGTTTTGAATTCCACTCTTGGAAGGGAGCCCTTCCAAAATGTGCTTGAGTCATAAGATCAAAGATACTAACAAAAGAAGTTCTAATTCCAGTTAAAAAGAAATGGTAGATGAGCTGCATAGAACGTGTCTATTTGCGATGAGCGTTTGCACTCTCAGGGGAGGGGCATTGGTCCCTCCATGACCAATCCTGAACTGGGCATCCCTACGGTTTGAAGGAAGCTGATGGGGATGGCAGGGGGGCTCAGCAACACCAGGGGCAGCCCAGAGAGCCAAGATTGGACAAAGCGAAAAGAGGTGAGGAGAAAGGAAAGTGGGGCACACCAGACAGAGGGCATACGGCCCCCCTCCCACCTCACTATCTCTGCCAATGAGGACAGAAACCTCTTTTCATTTATTAGGGATCTTGTTTTGTTTAGCTTTGCTTAGCTGGGTTAGTCACCAGTCTACTCACGGAATTTAATTGGGACTCTAATGAGTATGTATCACTTTTACAACCAAAAAATCCTGTATATTTTATAAAGTTGGATAACTTCCCCTAATTAAAAAAATTTTTTTTTTTCAGGGAGCAAAGAATTGTAGTTTTAAAAAAAGGGGGTCTCTCTTGAAAGTCTGAAACTTTTACTATAGAGATTCCTTTGTGAACGGGAGGAATGTTTTCTCTGTTTTCCAGCGGAGGGCTTTGCGGCTCTCAGAGCACCGTGAGAGCAGAGGCTCATGGTTCCCCAGCCTCCCCCTGGAGCTGCCTCTCCGCGTCACCTGTGGCTGCACCCCAGCTTCCCCGCTCTGTAAGGGCTCTCATTGGCCACACCTGTGGGAGGAGAGGGCCAGCATCGCAGGCTCTAGCCATCCCAGGTGCCCGGGAAGCACCAAGGATATTAGCAGCCATGGAGGCTGCTTCCCCAGGCATGTCCACACCTGGGGAATATCCTGACCCATTTTTTAACAACAGGGGAGCCCCCCTCCTCAGCCCCAAGGCTCTCCTCAGCCCTCGCAAGTCACAGGTGAAGAGTTTTGTTTCTTCCTTCCAGCAGTTTGGACTTGACACCCACACCTGGGCTCCCTCCTTAATCTCCAACGCTTAACATATACAAACAAAAAATAACCTCAGACTCCAAGTAAACAGTCCACATATAGGTTAAAGAAAAAGGGATGGGCTGCGGGGTCAGGGGCCCTCAGTCACCTGTCCTGAATGCTGACAGGAGGCGTGGGGGGCTGACAGGAGGTCCTTGGTGTGAACTAGGAGCAAGAGGAAAGGCCGGGGAGCCAGGATCGGCCTGGGGCAGGGTCTTCTCCTGGGGACTCTGGTACCTGGAGGTTATTCATGCCTAGAAATGCCTCTCGGAGGCCTTTCAGACCCATGCTGGGACCACTTGTTGGGGCGGCCCATTCCTGGAAGGGCCACGAAAGGGGTGTCTATGGGCCTCCGGCCTGCAGAACCTCCCTGCCTCTTCCCCTCCCTCCTTGCTCTCTCAGAGGTGGGGAAGTTTGTTCTTAAGAATAATTAACCTTCACTAGGTTAAGTATTTGACTTCACATCCTGTGAAGCCAAAGGAAGTGTCCCCTAATTCCTGAGAAAGGAGACAGATGGAAAACAGGGCTTCCCCTGTTAGGTCAAAGTGCATGGCTGTTGAGGGTGCTGGAAACATCAGCAGGACTTGCCTCTCGGAGTGGAGGTTGTTTTGGGAAATCGTTGCTTGTGGCTCTTCTGATGGGGGATCCCCAGGGCCCAGGTGGGACTGGGGACCCCAATCACTCAGGGAGGCGGTGCCGGGCTGGTGACAGGGGCCTAGAGCTGCCCCGGGTGGGGCTGGGCTGTGAGGTCTGCGGCTCCGCGTGCAGCTGTGGGCGAGGGGGACGAGGGGGCACATTCGCCTCTGCGGGGGAGGGACACTCTCAGAAGCCAGACATGCAAGGGGAACACGAGCACAAGGACCTCGGGTGGGGGGAGAGGGAGTGCTGGGGCAGTACCTCCACATTAGCCTCGGGCTGGGGGATGAGACCCGGGCCCGAGTGGACCAGGTCAGCGACCTTACCGATCAGCGACTCCCGCTTCTGCCTGGCACAGTCCTGGATAGTCTGCTTCACTCTGGGATTATCGAAAAGGACTTCTCTCTCGGACCACAGCCCTGCTCAAGCACCTCGGGCCTGACTCCTCGGCCCACGGGCTCACAAGACGGAGGCTCTCGGGCTGACTCCGGGTGTTCATGTTGCTGTGGGATGCGACCCTACCTTGGCCTGTGGACGCTCAGGCAGTCCTCTGCCCCCAAATTAAAACCACATTGAAAGAAGGCAAGAAAAAGTATTTTCCTGAGGGATTAACTGACACAGTAGCCAACTTCACTTAGTGGTACTATTTACTGTTACCAAGAAATGTCGGGGTCTCTACTTACGTGGAAGGACAAAGAATGGCAAAGCCCACATGTGGGGAGACTTGTGCCCCCCGAGAGCAATGACCTGCCTGCAGCCATCTGTCTCAGCTTCTATCCATCGGTCCTTTTAAATTCAGGACCCCATAAAGCTCCCTGCCTCCCACCACCCCAGCTTCAGCCCATCTCTCTCCTACATTCAAAATCCCCATCTAACCTAGGTCAGTTATTCTGTGTGATCTACTGGCGCCATTTTGACCTTGATGGTCTCAAGGGCTGGAGGGTGCAGGAGGCGGTTGAAGGGGGAGGTGAGAGGAGATGGGCCTTTTCTCTCTTCCTCTCTGTCCGGGACTCAAGCAGTTAGATAAAGATTCCACCTTAAACAGAGTTATGATCCTGCAAATTCACTGCCACGGGGGAGGGAGGCCTTGAGGGGACCTCCCTTCCACAGGACCAGTTTGCCCAGCTCCCTTCTCTGCTGTGTGCTGGCCCCCGTGCCCGCACCCCCGGGGCAGCTTTCGGGGTCTCTGGCCTGTCAGTAGGAGATCGTGGACCCCAAGGGGAGTTTTGGAAAGAACGTGGGGAGCCAAGGACAGCTTTTTGAAAATGCTGCCTTGTCTTTACTTTGAATCACACGTGCACCACGAATCCAAATGGAAAAAAATGGAAAACGAATGAAGAAAGGAAAGAGAATTTTTGTGGGGCAAGATGGGTTGCAGCTCTGGGTGATTGTGTCCTGTTTCTCGAGCCCAAGCAGGCCGCAGAGATTTCAGCAAACAAAACACCAGCAGCGACCCCCCTCCCAGCAATTAAAGTAAAATCTGCCCCAACCCCCTTCTGAACCAGGAGAAAGGAGAACCAGGAGACTGTCCTCTCCTCTTTCTTCCTGACATTGAGGTTTCTCTGAGGTGTCTGAGAAGTTTCTCTTACGACAAAACGGGGCAGGGGCGGGGTGGGGGGGGGGAGTTCTGTACCGACAAAGGAACAATAACAATAATAATAATAATCCGGTAAAAAATAAAAGCTTCAGCAGAACCATAACAGTCTTCTTTTCTGCCTGTTCATTTTTTCTCTCTGTGCAAAACTTAAAAAACCAAACACACTCGCTCACACATGCGCTCACACACACACTCAGCTTCCACTCAGTGAATCTGTGTTAAATATGTTTGTGTCTCTCTCCTCCCCACCCCCTCACGTGTGCAAATACATCTTGGCGGCTGCAGTGCCTCCTCCGCCCGCCCCCCCTCGTGCTTCCTCTCTGGCCAGGGCCTGTGGCTTCTCGGGAGGAAATTAAAGGGTCAAGGGTAGAAAGCCCAAGCTTCTTCACCTGGCACTTCATTTGCCAAAACCTTTGGTTATGTTTCCCCCTCAATGGGTGTCTTTTCCCCATTCTCCTCTTTCCGTGGTTAGGCTACTGGTGTTTTGTCCCCATCTGTCCTCTCCTTGATGTCACATGCTGCCCTGCTGTGGGTCACCTCCACCCAGCCTCCAGTCAAGTCCCGGCCTCCCGTGGGCGCTGAGCAGCCTGGTTTCCTGCCGACAGGTGACTCTCCTTCTCCACCCCCAGCACTCAGCGCCGAAAGCTAGTGTTGAAATGTCCTCAAGCTACAGAATGAATGAGCAAGGGTGGCGTAAGGGAATCACTTCAGGGTCCCCTCCACAGGACCAGAAATCCTTTTGAGCTCTCTGCCTGCTCCTGGGGTGCACACACACACACACACACACCTATCCAAAGGGGCCAGAGTTCTTAAAAGTACAGGGTGCTCCATGGACTTTGCTGGAAATGGAGTGGTTCCTTCCCCTTTCCCATTGGGGCTCACTTTGAGTGGATGACAGGGATGGACATCTGACGTTCAGGGAGTGAAGGCAAGACTGGAACCCTCACTCTCAGCCACACCTTACATGATGCTTCTCCTTGTCCCCCAGAGTGGTGTACAATTAGCCACCAGGGCTGCTAGGAGAGAATCTGGCTTAGGGTGGGAAACTGGGCCAGATGGCAACTAAGGGCCCTTCAAGATTCAGGTTTCCATGACCCTCCATTAGACCGTCTCTTACCACAGCCCCTGCTCACCCATGTCTGAGCGTACATTTGCCTGACGGGCTGAAATGGGCAGAGATGGAAGGACAGACGGAGAAACAGATGCCAGGGCCGAGGTCCGTTGTATGTCTCTTCTGTCGTTGTTGGCCAGGTCCTTCAGCTTGAGTCCTTGGTCCCTCCCGGATGTGGCGAGCTGGTGGCTAGGTGTGCCTGGCATTTGGGTTTGTCTCCCGTGAGGCTGTGCTTGAGCGTGGTTCTCTCTGTGATGACTGGGGAGGAGGTGAGGAAGGGCAGGGACTAAAGAGACAGCGGATGGTGAAGGAGCCCTTGCCAAGGAGGTCTGGACAAAGTCATCTGCATAGCAATGGCACCAGGCTCTGCAGGGGGACAGGGGCTCAGCTCTCTGCCCCAGCCTTCTATAGAGTTCTCAGGAAGGGTGGTGGGGACGGAGCCAAGAAAGGTGGCTGGAGGTAGAATCTCCTGGATGTACTCTGCATTTTACATTGACCCTTGATGAGCGCCGACCAAGGAGGCTGCAGGTGCTTTCCCTAGACAGCATCGACGATCTGGCAATGGATGAGGCCCGTGACGTGCTTCATTTGCGTGCGGGGGTGAATGGAAAACAACAAATTCTGCTTCCAGGGTGGGTGTGACTCTCTTTCCCTTTCTCCCCCTCCACGTGACATTTCTGCTGCTCTGAGCCAGACTCGAAGGTTAGGAGGGTCTCCGCGGTGGCGTGTAACTGCTGATTCTCCTGTCTGGCTTTCCATAGGCAGGGGAGGGGACGAGGCCGGCAGGTCCCTAGGAGCACTTGGAAGGGCTCCGAGAAGACCGCAAGGGGACAAGGTGGCCTCTGGAGGCCAACCCAACAGGTGAGAGGCGGCTCGAAGTCACCTCCCAACTCGTTGCCCCTCCCAACCCCCAGTCCTCCATGCGCAGGAGCTGTGGCCTTTCTTCTCAGAGCTGTAACGGGCCCACACCCTGGCGAACCCCCTGGAGGTGGACACGGGGGAAGGAAGAGAGCCAGGTGGTGTCTTCCTGGTGAAGATAATACTGAGCTCATTGCCTCTTCCCTAGACCAAGGCTCGGCCTGGTGTGGAAGGTGGAGTAGCGGCATGGGGGTGTCCTCTCTCCGGGGCTCCTCCTCCATCCGATGTGGTCAGCCTGCGGCCAGCCGGGAAAGAGAGCCCCGCTGATATCTTCTGGCCGGGTCCCCGCGTGAGCCTGGCCATCCTGGACTAACTGAGGGGCGGTGGCCTGGTTCCATCGTGTTGGCAGAGCCACAGAGAGAGAAGGGACGCAGGGAGGAGGGAGAGACAGAAAGAGGCGGAGAGAGAGACAGCGCTGCTCAGGGGATGCTGCTGACGCCAGTCGGAACTTGCACTTGGTAAAGATGATAATCTAGACTGAGGCACGGCTTGGTGTGTCCCTCCCCCCAGGGGCCCTGGAAGGACGGTTCTCAGCTGTCTAAGCTCATGAGGGTTATGACTTGTTCTAGTTTGTAGGCCAGTTTCTGCTTTCCACACTGGTCATCATGGTCCAGAGGTCCGAGGATCTGTTGAAGGGCCGAGAACAGGGAGGTTACTAGTCTGTGCATACAGGTCTGTGTTCTTAGGGTGTGCACAGGGCGAGAGGCGCACACGAGGTCGCTGGGTCCGCAGGCAGCCTGGCTAACGGGGATGGAGGGGGGCGGGGGCGCGCGGTCGGCACATACATCAGCGTGTCTGTGTGCACTCCGCTGCCCACGTTCACCCTGCAGGTGAACACAGCCCCACCCCCGTGTGAAGCGTGGCGCCCGGGGTCTCTGGGGAACGTGGTCTCACAGATATTAAGAAATCCCACCCCTCCTTCCTACAAAGGAATATCTTCCTCCATGAGCTCCCCAAGGCCCCAGAGCCCACATTTAGAAAGTCACTTGGCTTCACTTGTGTGTTAACAGACAAATATCCCTCCCAGAGTTCATTCTCATGCTTTCCCAGTCATCAGCACCAAATGATCGTGTCTGCCAAAGCCCTGTCTGAGATCAGATGGTTGGGGGAGGACAATGACAGTGAGGACGTGAGGGAGAAAGTGTTAGAATTTGACGCAGACTCAGGCGATGTGGGACTGAATAACAGACCTACCAGTTTCTAGCGAGGTGATCTGGGGCAAAACATGTCACCTCTCTGAACCCTCACTGCCTCAGCTGTAAAACGGGGGAACTCCCGGTCCCTGTGTCCCTGGGCCGCTCCAGTGGAGAGGGCACAGTCCCAGTCTGTGCGCACAGCCCCCAAGTCCAAGGTGGCAGAGCGTTTCCCCAGCAGGGGTGGGGGGCTGTCTGGGGTTCATGCCTGGTGCATGCTACAGGCAGAGTTTTCCGTCTCCGCTCCATCCTTCCCAGCAGGTGCCGAGCAGGCTCACCTCCTCGCTGTACTTGCCCACGTAGGAGAAGATCTCCGAGAGCGCGCTCATGGCGTTGAACTCATTCATGTGCATCCGGGACTGCTCAGCCAGGTACGCGTTCATGTCCTGGTCGCTGATGGCCGGCATCTTCCCGATGTCTGCATAATACCTGCCGGGGAAGGGAGCGGGGAAGAAAGGAGCTGGAGCCGTGCACACGGAGTAGAGGAGAGATGGAAACTCCCAGCACGATGTCTGGGGCCAGTGGATGCCGGTGCACGGCCCCCTGGGGACCATGGTGGGCTCTCTCCCACCTGCGCTTCTGGGGCTGGCCCGGGAGAGCCCTCTGCAGCTCTGGATGCAGGGGCACAGACGGAAGGGACGTGGCCCAGACATGGTCAGAGGGTGAACGGGGAGCTGTCTCCTGCTTGGGGCTTGCTCCCAGCCACCGAAGAGTGTCCAGTCTGTCTCTGTGTCCTTCTGACACCTCCTCCCACAGACGCAAGGGCTGCCCCCCGCAGGGCCCGGAGGCCCTTCCAAGCAGTTGCTCTGCATCAATGCCCTCCCCTCTCTGGGGGTGACCCGGGAGGAGGGCGGGGCTGGGGGCAGCTTGGGGAGAGAGGCTGGCAGAAGGCAATCTGTCACTGTCACTTGCTGTGGTGCACCGCTGTCAACTGGTTAATTAGATGCCAACATTTACATTTTTAATTTCTGCAATTTGACATTTTCTGCAGCAAACCCCAGCTCCTCCGCCAGAGGGGAGTTGTGCAGTTTCCAAATGAGGACTGGAAGGACCCCAGTGTCCCCGAGACAGCCCCGCCGCCCCCCAGCCGCTTGCTGACTGTGGGCCATGGAAGGGGGCCAGGAACCCACAAAAGCAGGGAGACATCAGGGCATTGGGGAGCATCCTAGCTCAGCCTGCGCTGAATGCTTAGGGCTTCAGAGCTGGGGAAAGCAAGACTGAGAACCTGGAACGGAGGAGGGTGGTGGGACGGTCGCCAGGGACAGGGACTAGGCTGAGGCGAGTGATGCATCCAGGGCACAAAGTTTTAGGAGAGGGTCTGGCTCACCTGTGTAAGCACAGGTGCCAATGACAGGCCCCGGGAGCTCCCAGAACTCAGGGCTTGAGCAGGCGACTGGAGGGGGCGTCCTCAGAGGCTCTGGGACAGTCTCACTCCTGGGCCCTGTGTCATTCCCAGCCCACATCCCTCGGGGCACCCACCATGAATGCATAAGTCCTGTGCTGTCTCCCGCCTCTCCCCCATCCCTGACCAGGAGTCGGGTGACAGGCCGACAGAGGGGACACTCGTGTGTTACTCTAGCCATCACGCTCAAGGGCCTGCCATGGAATGACAGTTCAATTTGCTGCCAGAGCATTTCTGGGCCGCCGAGGCCTGTAATGGCTGCCCTGCCCCAAGCCACGGTCTTGCTGTGACTGCAGACCTGTCGTTCATTCTAGAAACCTTCCGAGGGTGGCAGAGGGAAGGGGATGAAATCTGTGCACTCTGGCAAGGGAAGGGGCCGGTCGGAGGGCGCCTCCTCCACCTCAGAAACCCGGCCCCACACAGACACACTCGCCAACTGCTTTGTTGAGCTGATTGCATTTTGGCAGGAGGTCTGGGCCCGGGGACGAGAGCTTAATGAAATGGCCTTTCTCAGAGGAGCCTGGGGCGTCCGATGAGGCCGTCCTGCCCTCAGCCTCACCTGGACTTCATCCTTCACAACCTCCTCCGGCCCCCCGCCCTCCTCACGTTCAGGGCCCTCCGTTCCCTGTCCTGTTGCACTGTGGCTCCTTCGCTCCGTCCCAAGGGCCTGCTCTCTTCCCGGCCTGCAGCCCACCCGTCGGCACCCTCAGGGTCCTCAGGGGCCTGGGCGATTTAATGACATTCCAGGTGTGAACAGTCCAGCGAGAGACTCGATTCATTGGCACTATTTCTGGAAGGCGATAAATGTCAGTGTTCCATTTTCCAGTGGAGACCCAGGGCTTCAGTGGTGGCTCCCAACCCCGCCCCTCCCAAGGACACGTGTGCCACCGTCCCCTCACGGAGTCCACGCCTCCCGAGCTGAATGTGCTCGTCGGGCTGGGGGGTCAGGTCACGTTGGGGAAAAGCGTGAACCGCCGACCTCCCTGGCTTCTCCACAGCCAGCAACCAGGCACTCAGCCAACACGCCTGAGTCCACAGCTTCCTCCCAACAGTGACGCTCTGTCATCTGTGGATGGTCACTCTGTCACCTGACCAGGTCCTCACTGACAGGACCTGACTGTCATCAGACACAAAGACTCCTGCCATTTCCGTCACCTGCTCATGAAGCCTCTCACGAGTACCTGGATGGCCTGTCAGGCTTTTTGCATGTAGCACCCGGGCTCCTACCGCAGCCTTTATGGTCCCTGAGGTGCACGAGAGCCCAGGTTAGGGACCACTGTCTCCATAGAAATAGCAGGTGCCCACCCCCCTGTCCCTTCAACATGGCTTGCCTCGGTGTGGGCCAGTCACCCGGGCTATTTCTCCAAAGAGAATATCTAGAAAGTGTGTCTGTGTGAGAAAGGGAGGGAGGAAGGGGTTGGGAGTGGAGTGGGGAGAGGGCAGGGCTTCCACCCTTTCCATCTGAAGAAACGGGTGGTGGCCCACCTGGACTTGCTTTGCTTTATTCTAACAGTGAGGTCACGTCCACAGGCAGCAGCCGGGTTGCCTCCTGGCCGAGGCTGCTGGATTGGACCTGTGCATGTCTGTGGCCACACACTAGCCCATGAATGGATCAACCACACGTCCTCATCTTCGGCAAGTTCGGAATAGCTGAGCTGAGTCGCCACGGGCAGCTCAATTTTCTGGATGAGTGTGGGGCTTGGGGTCTGGCGGACACTCTGCCTGGTTCTTGACCCCAGCCCTGCACGCTGCTGGCTGGCCCATCCACCCGACGGGGCATGCTGAGCCTGCCTTGACCTCTCCTCGCTCCCCTCCAGGGCTGTGCCCCACCACCCCCCAGGTTTGCCAGCACCCCTTGAGCCTGATAATGACCTTGCCCTGGGTTCCCTGGCTCTGTGGGTAATTGCTTCCTTCTCCGCTCCCGCTGGGCCGGCCTTTGCGCTGGGCTCCACCATGGAGAAGGCTTATTGATTGTGAAGAATGCAATTATGCCCCATTAATGAACCTCAAACAAGTGTTCTTATCAGCGGGCTGTGCAGTGAGGAAGGGAAAGGTCAGCCCGGGCTCCTGAACTTGAACTTCCTCCCGTGGGATTTCTGCCTGCAGGTGAGCCCCTTCAGAAGGGACTGGTGCTCTGAAAGTCCCCCAAGTCCCCCCGCTCTAACTGGCCAGGGTCTGGCAGGCTGGCCAAGGCCACGCCTGCTGAGGAGGGCTGGGTCCCACCACTGGCCCTCCCTAGCCTTCTTTGTCGAGTTCGCTGCTACCAGATGGGATGCCAGTACCCGTGTGGGTCCTTGGGGAGCTGCTGTAAAGGCAGGGCCCCAGAATGCTGAATTTCTGCTGTCGACCAGTCTGTAGCAGTCTACATTTATGGGCTTCTGGGGGATGGGCCCAGTGTGTGATGGCGGGTGTCTCAGCTCTGCATTACCATGGCTCCAGTGATCCCCAAAGTGGTCTCCAGTGCCCTGAACTCTTAGAAGAACAAAGTTTTGTCATCCCTTCAAACACCTCAAGGATGAAGGCGTAGACATGAAAAACGCTTAGAGCCTGATGTTCTGATGTACAGACACGTGGCTTGCAAGGCCCTGCACAAAAGTCTCTTCCTCTGAGGACCATTCCCTGACCTCTCCAGGCCCAGCGGAATCAGGCTGTCACTCCTGGAGCCTATTACAGCTCATGGGGCTTGTTGAGTGCCCCTCCGTGTGTCTTCCTTGACAACAAGAGCCACGAGGGAGGGATCAAGTGTAATATATGCCGAGGGTCCCATACACTCCTGATGGAGACCATAAATGTTTGACCCATGGATTGATGAATAAGTTAATAAAATGTCTATACTTCACCTCCACTATTGCTCCCAGGGTGAGCTGTCACAATTTTATGTTTTGAATGGATGGCTTCCTTAGGGGGCATTTTTAAATATTTAAAATTCTTAACCTTTTTCATGCCGTGACACACGTGATAGATGATACTCAAATGTGTGGCGCACCCCAGTCCAGTTCTGAGCAGGTCAACGGTGGTGCCACTCCACTCATTCCTACCTGGAATGCACCTGCACTTGAGAGCAGGTGAGAGAGGCTAATGCTGCCACAGGAATAACCTTGAGGCTCTTCCAGTTTAAAATGAGAGGAAATCACCACCTAACATCATTTTACTGCTCTTGCTAATGAAATAGAAACTATGACTGTTCAGGTCACACTCTTCATGGTGACACCAGTGAGTTCTGCTCTATGAGTGTAGTGGTTGATTGCTCCTGGGAACCAAGAGATCCTTCTCCCTTTCTCTAGATGTGGCCATAAGCAAAAACCCAAATACTTGGATGGAGGCGCAGACACTGGGAGTCTGCAGCGGGGCCACTGACCATTATTAGCATTGCAAAGTATTTGGAGGTAGGAATGGGATGGGAGGACGAAATGGGAGGACGGGGTTGGGGGAGGATGGGTAGATGAAGAAGTTCTAGGAGCTACAAGCCAGCATAGGTGTGCCAGAATGATCTAGGCTGTTCAACCAACAGAGTTGGTGAAGCCTCCAGAATCCACATGCTTCTCACCTGCTCTACAGAGGGGACCAGCCAGGTAACCCTGTTTCTAACCCTGGAAACAGTAAACCCTGTTTCTTAGCTGTGATGGGACAGACGGCCCTCCCCAGATGTGTGTAGGGTGCCGTCTACCGCAGTGAGTCACTGAGCCTGAGTCCTAGGTGGGCTGTCTGCAGGCTCAGGCAGTGACATCACAAGTGGGTGAGCCCTGGCCATAAGACGTTGGCTTCTACCGTCATTCTTCTAGACTGCAGGCTGCCAGTGCCCTTGGTAGGCCGAGGTGGGAGACGGGGCTCCCTGTGGACCACGAGCGAGTTCTGTGCATCTAGGCTTCACCTTCCAGCCAGCAGACAAGCTCGGAGGCCAGGCTCCTCGGGCAGTGACGTGGAATCGATCCATCCATCACCAAGTGGAGAGGCACTCCAGACTTGATCTCCAGACCTGTTCACACCGTCTCCTAATCCCTCCGCCTCTGTACCTCGTCCCAGAATGAGGGGAGAAAGGGTTTGGGTGGGATCTCAAGCTAGCGAAAGATGACTCTCCCGAGAGTGGCAGTGGTTGCTAAGAAACTGGCGGGAAAAGAAATGGAAACCATCGAGCCACTCCTAAAAATAGCCCAACGGACCAGGCTTCCTCATGACCCGTGGCAGCTGCGTGGCACAGATTTCAGTTAGCACCAAGCAGCAGGAAGGCCATTAGCCCCGCGCATGCATCACTCTCGCCCCTGCCTCGCGAACTGTGTTCTGGGGAGTGTCCTCTCTGCAGATGTCTCGGCAGTGCCCCCAGCCCCGCACACCCCCGCTTCCTTGCTCCCTGCCTGAGGTTCCAGCTCAGCGCCGCCGCACCAGTGCCCGGATCACCTAGCCCAGCTGCTGCCTCTTTCCTCCCTCTCTTTGCTGAAGACCACACAGGAGGGCTTGTTTCTGGCAGCTCTATTGTCAGAAGAATGAGCCACCATCTACGTGGAGGGAGGTGAGAGCCTCTCGTCGTGACTCAGACATAATCCGGTATAAGGACAAGAGAGCTCTCTGTTGGCCGACATCGATGCCCACCTCACGCATCAGCAGGGAGGGGTGGGGAAGATCTCAAAGAACAAAGGGGAGAGGAAGAACAAAATGCAATCCCTTTGAGCAGAACCATGTTACTGAGATGGCCAGGACTCCACGGCCTCTTAGTTATTCCCTCTTTACAAGGGCAGGCAATTTTCAAGTATGAACACAGAGACTGTCTCTTTGCCACAGGTGAAATGATCCTGTTGAGTTTGTCTCCAGTTACTCAGTCAAGAACAATTTTTGGCATCTTTTACTCTTAAAAAAGGCACCAAATCTGAGCTTCCATCCAGGTTTCCTGTTTTAAAGCTACATGGTAAAATCAGGACTGCCATGTGGAGTTGTGCAGGTTGTTCACTGCACAAAGGTGCTTGGCTGGACAACCAGTCCATCACTCAACAAACCATGCACCCTGGCCTGGGGTTCCTCCAGTAGGAAAGGGCACTTTCCTCAATTCACACAGAGGCACCATATAGGTTGCCCTAATAGTAGAGAAGTGATGTGGGAGTCAGCTGAGTTTGGGGATCAACTCTCCTCTTGGCCACTGAAGTCATCTTGGGCTGATTACTTAGCCATTCTGAATGTATATTTCTTCACTTTCATGGGCAGAAAATGAGGTTATAATCCTGTCCTCTTACATCCCAGGGCTACTGGCATGAATAAATAAATAAAGCTTTGGCTGATTGCCTAGCTCAGGTGCTTGGTATGTGGTGCTGATTGGCCCGGACAAACCACTGATGTTCTTCACCAGGAGTTAGCTTTGCATGAAGATGGGCTCCCCAGCTTACGGGTGGCCCTCCAGTCACGGGACGCTGTGTGAGACAATGACTAGGTCTATAGGTCTGTAGGTCTATGGGGCTGAGGACTAGGTCTATAGGGCTATGGTGGCTGAGAAGGCACTGCGGGGCACACCCAGGGCATCAAGAGCTCGTCTTGGGGAGCTCAGGGACTGGGGCAGAGGGAAGCGTCAGAGTGACAGCGACATCCCTGCCGGACGTGGGGGGACTTGCCGATGGACAGGGGCAGATAGGCAGGGGGCTCCAGACTTTCTGTGCAAGATGTTACTCAGTCCCTCGAAGGTCTGTTTGTTTTGTTTTGGTGGGGATTGGAGCAGGGGCTGTATTTCCTTCCTGGGCCTGGAGGCATTTCAGGCATGGAAAGATCTGGGGCCCTCCGTGCAGGGAAGCAGAGCCCAGTGGGACCTCCAGCCAGGGGTCTTGTTTCAGCTGACAGTACCACTGGGCTCACGGGGGTGTGGGCATTGCAATCGCAGGACCGGGCTTTGTGAACGACCCGTCTGTAAGCACGGCCCATTTTGGAGGGGATGGGACCCTTAATCAGGGCCAGTGGCTTGCTGCAGTAAGGGGCCCTGCCTTGGCTCCCAGGCCCAGCACTCACCTTTCTACCCAGTTCTTGTAGCTGGGGATGTCCTTGGCGTAGAGCAGCTTGTTGGAGGGGGAGTCCTTGCCCAGCCGGTGCTCTGATGTGGAGCAGGAGTCCATGAAGGTCTGGGCCACCACGGACAGGCAGGCGTCCGTGATGCTGTTCTTATGGATGTCAAACACAAACTGGGGGTTCTTGATCATGTTGACCCAAAACCGCAGGGGCAGGCTGTGTGGAGGGAAGAGGCAGACGGTCAGAGAACACAGGGCAGGAGGCTGTGGCGTAGCCCGGAGAGTTCTCTGGAAAAAGAGAAAAGGTTGGGAACCAACTGTTCTTAAGCAAAGCCTCTGCCACTAACTTACCTGCCAGGAAACCGAGGATCAGCCAGGCTGGATAATCCACCCACAGCTAAAATGTTGATGGGCCCTGGAGAGGGCTTGGTGCCCGGCCTGCACTGCGGGCCTACAACCCTCCCTGGTAGCCCAGGGCTTGGGACTCAGAGGTAGCCAGGACAGAGTTTCTGACTCTGTTCCACTGTCCGCCCCCTGTGCTGGATACAAGGCATCTCCAGTTGGCAAACTTTAAAGCATAACCTGGAATATAGGCTTTGTGTCTTATTCTCTGCCATCCACTGTATGACTTGGAAGAAGGCACATCCTGCCTGCCTGCCTGCCTGGGAGCATCAGCTTGATCCTACACGGTGAAGGCCCTGGGGCTGAGCACTTTAAGTGTAGCTAACTGATTTCTCCTCTGTGAGCTGGCATGCTAGAAACCCACGTTCACAGCCTTCAGCTGCTCCCTCGTGTTCCCTCCTTCCCCTCCCTCCTTCTTGCACTTTGCACCTACTGCATACCAGGAGCTAGCTAGCACCTGGGGATACGGTGTGAATAAGATACATCCTCTGCCCTCAAGAAGCCTGCATTCTGGTGGGTTCGTGGGGGGTGTCAGACAAGCCATCGAGTATGTGCTCTGAGAACTGTCAGTGCTAGAACCCAGGGACATACGGGGTCTGATGTGGGGCACAGGGAGGTGTCGTCCAGTCTACTCAGAAGCGTCCAGAAAGTCTGCACAGATGGAAAGGCACTTGATGGTCTGAGTTTTAAAGATGCACAGGTGTTCCTTAGCTGGAGGAAGCCTGGAGGCAGTGGGAGAGGAATCAGCTAGACCAAGACAAAGAGGGGAAAACCGTGCAGTGTGGTCTGGTCTGATAACTGCAAGTCACTGTCTGTGTTGCCAGAAAGGGTCCTGGGGCGTCGGGAGAAAGCGCCCACCTGCTGCCTTCGGCCACGCTCGGCTGGCTCTCCCATCCCGTGGCTTCCATCCAGCCCACTGGGATGCAGAATAGGAAGCGGGGCGGCACCAAGCCAGGGATGGCCTCTCTCCCTCCCTCTGCCCCTGTCTGCTCACCTCCTGCCCTTTGCCCTGAGTTTTAGTGTTTGGGTTGCTGTCCTCACGGCTGCGAGTAGTTCAGTGCTCCTATATGTTTGGCTTGCCTCTTGGAGCTTAAACTCTTGGAACTACTTCCTTCAGTAAGGCGAGCACGCTATTCCTCTCCGTCGTATCTTCCAGCAGCCAGTACCTCATATGACAAATGCTAAGATACAGAAAGACCCCCTATTCAAGACTGCCAGTCAATCAACAAGTGTTCCCTTCCCACAAAGAGTGCGGTGCGGGGCTCGGGCCGGCAGCACTGACCCTGTTCAGTGGCGCTCGTCGCATCCTGGGAAACAGGGAATAGGAAATAAAGGGATGGCACAGAAAAATTGCGACACGCTGTGAAGGTCAGGGTCCTTGTAGGTGCCCGGGAGACCACGAGAGCTAGGATCAGAGCTCTGGATCAAGGAGCCCCACACCCGTCCGCACCTTCCTGTTTCTGGAAGGGCCACCCAGAAGAGGGACGCCGCTGTCCCTATCTGCCTCGTCGTTGTTCCTCCCAACACTCCCCCTGCGTCAGTCAGCTGTGCTGACCGGCCAATCAAACAGGGACGCCAGGGCATCACACCGAGGCTCCTGCCTAATGAAATATTAGCATATTATTAACATTAGTGGTGGCACTAATCTCTGGTTGATTGCAGCCACTCAGGCTAAATGAGCAGGAGGTTTATTTCAAAGAGAAAAGGTAGGGGGATTGTCGAGGAAGGGGGGTGGGGGGGGGACAAGGTGAGTTACAACTTTGGCCAGGAAAACAGAAGTCATCTTTTTTCTCTCAGGGACAAGGAACTCTAAGTCAGCACGCAGATCTCACAATCCCCAGGCGAACTGCTTCTTGCCTGGGCAGCGAGCAGGGTCAGGGGGCGTGTGTCCTTTGGAGCAAGACCCGGAGCCGCTGCTGACTCTGGTACTGGCCTGGAGTTCCTGGTGAGGACAGCAGGGTACTGGGGAGAGCTGGTGTGAAGGGAAGGCCGGCCGCACGCCAAGGGCATCATGGCATCATCCTTGGAGGTGGCCCTCCTCCTGCAGGAGGTATGGGCTGAAAGCTAATGGTTTAGACACCATCTCTAACTTGGGGTCTGCTTGTAATGGGCTAGGAGGGCAGGTAGGGGTGTTTTGGAAAGACCCCTCTCCCCAGCCAGGACCAAGAGCCAGGCCGGGCAGATCATGTCTTGTGTCATGAAAGCGGCTGACATTCAGATGAGGTGGTCATTAAGGGAGGCTTGCTGCCAGGGAGAAGCAGATTGGGTAGGCCAGGGACGTGGCCCTCGGAACAGCTCCGAAGAGTCGTGCTCAAAGGACGGGCAGAGCTCAGAGCAATCTGAGCCAGAGGCGGGCACGGGGACATGCCAGGCCTGGCAGGCCTCCCACAGGGAAGAGGCTCCACCCGGTACTCTTGCACTAAATGAGGAATCCAGATTCTAAGAGTCTTATTTCAAAAAGGTTGCAAGAACTCCACAGTGGAAGATCATCTCTCACCCGAAGTTCATGTGGGAGTAAACCCAACTCTTTAGTGCAACGCTCCAAACTTCTGTTCTGCCGGCTTTTCCAATTTCGGCAGAGACAGCACTAGTCCTCAGGTGAAAGAGAGGAGAAGCCAAAGCAGATGACATGAGATGAGGTTTTAGTGCCACTTCTGACTTCTGTCATCTGTGTTCGGTCTGGGGCTGCAGCTGGCTGTCGGGATGGCTGGCTGCACCCCTAGTGCCCGTCCCAGCAGTCGGCAGCTGCTGGGCAGCAGGTTTGTGCTGCCTTGGAAGAATATTCTGGGGAAGAACAACCTGGGACGGGGCTGTTTAAAAGCTACAGGGAGGTGAGTCTGGAAAGGATGGGACTAAATATAAGCCGGCCTTGCCCGAGGGAGAGCCCTCAAGTAGAGACCACCTTGGCCCGGTATCGTCATCCATATGGAGCCACGGCTTTGTGCAAGGTTCCACACCAAGTGCCGAATGCTGCTATCTGACTTTGCAGTTGCAGACGGAAACCCAGAGCATACACACGCCAAGGGAAAGGGGCATATGTGGTACCGGAGAGAGGGACCACAGTGGAGACACCTAGAATGTCAGGACAGAATCCCGCCGTCTTGTGGTCTCAAAGACAGACGAAGCAGATTTGAGAAGGTCTTTTCCCCAAAGGGAGTTTGGAAGAGGAGTTTGGGGGAAGAGAAGGAAGACCATTGCTTTTCGAATAGAACAGAAATACCTTTTGTTCACCTAGATGACTTAGGTCAAAACTGTGCTCGAGAGTCACTGTTAGGTGCTGCCTTCTAGGATCGGCTGCCCACGTGCATCTTCTCCCATCGCACTGGCCTCCCTGTCCCACCAGCTCCCTGCCTGTCTGTCGCCCACTGAGGCCAGGGGCCGGCCCGATGGCGTCTGCACGCTCAGCGTCCGAGAAGTGAGAGCGGAGGCGAGCACGGGGATGGGAGAGGGTGCGGAGGCCGGGGGCCCGCTCCTGCTCCGAGGGCCTGCCTGCGGGGGCAGGGGGGCCCCGGCCACACTCACCAGTTGCTCTTCCAGGTGTGGCGGACGTGGGGGTCGTGAATGCCGTGCTTGTCCGCCTGCTCGTCCAGGAAGTCGAACATGTACTTGATGGCCAGGGGCAGGGCGGAGCCCCGGTGTGCCGTGCTGAAGATGGTCTCGAAGAGGTCGTCCACAAACTTCTGCAGGGTGCCCTGCGGGCGGAGAGGCGCCTGTTCAGACACAGCCCTGCCCAGGGAGCTCTGAGGCCGGGTTTTAAGATCTGCCTGGCGGCCCAGGAGAGGGGACGGGAGGATGGCGTGCAGCCTGGCCCACCGGGGTGAAACCCGGTGAGTGCTCGCATCACATCCCCCCCGGGCTTCATCTGTCTCCAACTGCTTTAAATCCCCCCTGCTGGTGCAAAATAGACAGAATGCTGATGACTGGACCTAAGGAAGCCTTCGTCTGCCAATAACACGGGTGGGTGTAACGCCCTTTGGTGGTGTTATTTTCGCCCCTTTCACAAATGCTCAGGAACAACTCAGTCGGTCAGAGCAGACAAACGCAATCTGCTGGTTCTGTTGGGGCATTCTTCACCCCGGCCAGTGAACACTTCCTCGCTTGGCTCTGCCGAGAGCAGGGCGCAGGCCAGCCTCACGACTGAAAGGCTAACGGCAGGCACACAGTGTTCCCAGAAGCAGGACTGGAATAGTGCCTGGAAGGTCACCGATGGAGCCCCCGTGTCCCTCCCTGGGGAAGGTGTATGACACCCACGAGGAGTCATTCTCTGGCAGAAGGGCATGAACAGATGTGACCAGTGTCCCTATATGTGGGAACGGGTGCAGAGAAGGATGGAAACCAAGCTTCAGACTGCATGCCAACAGTGGGGCACGGGTTGGGTCTGCCTGGGGCACTGGTGGCAGTTCCAGTCATCTGCAGGGTTGAGGGGGATTCTGCGGTTCTGCGCGGGGGCCAAGTCCTGGGGCCGAGTGCATAGCAGAGGGGTCCTGGCACAAACGCTAGCTACCTGCCGTCTCTGAGATGTTGGTGACGTGACGGGGTTCCTTCCCAGGCCCCACACGTGCCCTGAGCCCTGTGTGAAGTCCCCTACCTTCGTGGCCAGGAGACGTGTCAGATAGATCTCAGACACCATCTTGCTCCCCCGGTCGCCCTCCTTCTGGTCCCCGTGCTCGTGGTTCTTGACCAGATGCCACATCTTGACTCCGCTCTCCAGGTCGGGGGTGATCATGGGTGTGCGTGAGCGGAGGCTGTCGGGGCTGCCCGTGTACCGGATCATATTTTCTGCCAATGCAATGACCCCGCGCGCGTGAGGCCGTTATGTTCCCCCCTGCTGCCCCCCTTCCAGCAATGGCCAGTGCTGTCTGATCCTTCCTGCCATGTGCTGGTGCCTTGCAAGCAACCATTCCCTGGAACTGGGATGCTTTGCCCGCCACCTCCAGGAAGCTCTCCAAGGCTGCTTCAGCCACAGAGATTCCTCGCCCTCCTGTACTTGCATCTCTCCAGCCCTTAAGTATTCGATTTCTAAAAATAGAAGCCTGTCCCTTGTTAAACTGTTCCTTGTAAGATATCTGAGGTGACGTCTCAGGATGTGTTCTGTGTGGCCAGCTAAGGAGGAACGGAGGAGCAGGCAGCCTGCTCCCTTCGTGACTGTTGACCAGCTGAGTAATCCCCCCGTCACCTGCTTCCCTGCATCCTCCATCTGGCCAGGGTCAGTCCTTCCCACCTGCTTGCTGACATGTGGGGTGTGGCAGAATGGGTGTGGTGCAGAAAAGATGAAGGTCCTACTGTGTGCAGGCTCCGCTGTGTTTTCTTCTACTTATTTTTACCCTGAGCCTGTGAAATAACCTTTTCATTCCTGTTTGGCTGGGAAGACCAGGTCTTAGAGCAGTCAGGCAGCTGGCCCCAGAGCTCACAGGTGGAGGCAGAATGGGGCTTCACTGGGGGCTCCGAGCCGGCTTCCAGCACCTTCTCCCCCACCCACTGCAGAGCCAGAGACCTGGGTCTGCCCCTTCCCTCAATGGCCTCCGAAGTGTGACCTTTACACGTCTCTTAGCTTCTGTGCATCTGAGTTATAATTTGCTAATCTGCATAATAGGGGGAAATAATAATTATTTAATTCACTGATTGTTACGAACATGACGTGCGATAATGAATATCACAAAAGTGAAAGCGTCGTGTAGACTGTAAGGTGCTCATGAAGGTTAGATTTTCTTCTTATTTTCAAGGGTGAAGGTCCTGTTCCTGCACCCGAGTTCCAGAATGGGGAGACTCCTCCCCGCTCAGGCCCTCCGCAGCGACGGTCAGCCTGCCTGCCTCCTGTCCAGGGCTCCCATGCCTTTCAGCGGTGCTGCCGTTGTGACCGTCACCATGGACAAGCTCGGGCGTCCTCTCCTCCCTGGGATGATTCGGAGAACTCACCATATTTACTCGCTGAGGTCCTGGAGACTGTGGAGTTGTTCACTGCATTGTAGGCTGTCACCTGCTTGGACACTAAAGCCACCACAGAACCATCTGGCACCTGCAGGGAAAAGGCTTCTAGGAGCCTGGGCACAGAAACTCTGCCACCTCAGGAAATAAGGACAATCAGAATTCACTTGGACCTCAGGGGCAATCACAGAGGACCGGGGGACTTTGGAGGCTGTTGGCTTGGCTTTGACGAAACAAGACAGACCTGAACACTGAGTAGTAGCCTACGCTGAGGCTCCCTCCTGGAGGAGCTCTGGCAAGAGCTTCTCACCAGCACCCTCCTTCCCCATGCTTCCCTGGCAGGGCACCCGGCCTCACACCCCAGGGATCATCCAAGAAAGGGCCTTTTCTTGGGGACTTGTCCACACCCTGCTGGAAGCATGCATGTTGGGATCCTATCTCCAAAAAGGTTAGGGTCTCCTGGCTGGGGGACATCAAGTTTCCCTGGGTCACTAAGGGATCAGAAGTGCTGGCGGACAGGGGGATGTACAGCTTGGTGTCCAGCCTCTGGGGGAGCCTGTTATTCAAGGCCCGAGGCTTGGAGGGAACTGCGGGTTAGTGAGCCCCACCCCTCCTGCGCAGTCACCCCACCTGGTAATGGGCCAGGGTGTTCAGTCTCTTCCAGTCATTCTCAATTTTGGTGGTGATGTCCTCATCCTGCAGGATCATCCTTGCCCCGCTTCCTTGTCGCCACTCTGCAGGGAGAGCAGTTGCATCTCAGAGAGGCCCTTGGGCCCCTCTTGCAGGGATCCCGAGGGCCCCAGGGTGGGCGGCTACACGGTACCATCTGGAGCGTGCATCCATGGACAGACAGGTGCAGGCAGATGCTCCCTGAGGAGCAGGGAGAGGCTCTCAGTGCAGAGGGGTCCTGAATTCCTGCTCTGGCCCTCATCCCAACTAACTATGGGACAAAAGCGGGATAACATCACCTGTCCTCCCCTGCCCACCTGTCCCCGTGAGTGGCCACATTGGTGAGTAGATGCTTAGTGAGTACTGGCTGAATGGATAGGGCAGGCCAAAGTAGCAGCATCACCACCACAGGCTCGTGGGCTTGACTGCAAGGTCGTGGAGCTGATGAGACCAAGCCTGCAGGCTCAGTCTGGGTGCACCCTGGTCCAGTTCCAGGGGCGCGTCCTGCACCCGAAAGCCGGCAGGTCGGTCACCCTTGGCAGGGAGGCTGAGTGAACATGTGTGCAGAGGTCAGCAAAACCCGTTCTCATGCCCAGGGTCAGCCCATCCCCACGGAGCTGATGTGGATAGCGGCATCTCGCTGATCTATCCAACACCTAATTTCATGCTACAGGTATGTACTTCTAGCCGTACGTTCTCCTCAAGGGCCCAGACGCCCACGATGCACAGGCTCTCTGCTGGATCCCACGTGGGGACGCAGGAGACTGTTCCTCATCGACCACATTGCCGTCACCCCCCGTGGTACAAATCACATGGAGATGAAGACGCGCACACTCCGGTCTTCAGATACACGCACATGGAGCCCCAGGTGCACGCCAGGCACACACCCGCGCTCCAGTGCACGTGCACGTGCACACCCACACACGCACATATGTTCACATGCGCACACCAGAAAAGAAAAACAGCCTTTTAAATTCAAACGCATTCCCATGTGTTGCAGCCAGAAAGCCCCGAACCCGGCCTCCAGGCAATCGGCGCAGACATCGCTGCTTCTGAGCTGTGCGGGAGCCCCGGGATTCACAGAGCGCAGTGGGGTGCTGGCCCGAGTCAGCCGACATCCTCGCCTCGCCCCGCCGTGTACGGTTCCTGTGGCTGAGCTGTGGGCCCGCCACCAGCCACCTCTGCAGCACGGAGGGCCCCGAAGCCTCCCTGCCTTGTGCCCGTGGCAGGTCCAAGTGCTACTGATGGGGACCAGGCCCAGGAAGGGAGCTGCTTGCCCTGAACAGCAGCAGAAATGCTCGCAACTCCCCAGTCCCTGCTCCATTCCCGCGCTTGCCTGCTTTCTGGTCCGAAGCTTCCCGCGGTGCCGGGCCGTCCCAGGAACGAAAACACACAGATACCACGCGTGTTCACGGCAGCAAAGGGGCCTCACTAGGTGCATGGGGACTGCCGGTCATTCAGTCCCGGGGACGGCACGGCTGAAGTCGATCGCGCTGCTTAGGGCCCGGGGGCAGGTCGGGTAGGACACTAAGGGCGGCACAGAGGCGGCAGGGTTGGGTTTGTTGGGTCTTTTGCTTTTGTTTTTCATTTTCTGTAGGTATGTAGGGATGCAGGGCTTTGTGAGTGGCGGGGCCAAAGTCGTGGCACATCTGTCAGCTGATACGCGGTAAGTCCGACTCCTGGAGGCCAGCCTGGAGCCAAGGAATAGGGCAGCGGCGCGCTTTAGCCCGGTCCCACAGCAGGCCCTAGAAGATGAAGCCTCTTGGGTCTCCCCCGCTTGCCGGTGAAGCACCAGGGCCGTTAAGTCAAAGGCTGCGTGGTGGGGGTGGTACAGACAGCGTGGGTGCACAGCAGGCCATGCTCTGCACTCCCCACATGGGGGCTGGAGGAGAAGCAGGGAAGAGCTCTGGGTGTTTCGTCCACGGGCTGGGCCCGAGGGAGAAGGAAGTCTCCTCCACTGAAGTGGCTGTGGGCTTGTCAGGACTGGTTGGGACCACCTTTCTGGTTTAGTAGCCGCCCTGGTCCGCTTGCTGTTGGGAGTTGTAGCACAACTCAGTGGGACCTGAACAAGCCACATCGCCGGGTGGACTGAGCAGTGACAGCGGGTGACTGATTCTGGACCCCGATGTAAGGCTGCCCTGTTGCACAACTCCCCTGAAATTGTGCAGTGCGCGGCCTGTGTGGCTGTCCTCGGCAGCCTTGGTTCTGAGTCATGTCCGATAATTATGTAAGCAAGTGAAAATCAGTCTGTTTCTCTGGCCCCAACTGAAAAAAGTAGGGCAGAGTATGGCCATGCTTCCCCCAGGGCAGTCAAGGAATGCTGGCTTGTCCTTGAGAGTACAAAAATTTGATGCTGCTAGATGCCTACTGCAGGGCTGGTCCAGCACCACGGACATAGTAAGTACCTGAGTATTTATTAAAGGAATAGTGAATAAGTGAAGGAGGGAAGGAAGGAAGGAAGGAGAATGAGTGAGTGAGTGATGGTGGCCTATTTTCCAGGCAGTATAAGAGAATTTTCTGCCTGTATGTTGGTGTTCACAGTGGGCAGGCACAGAGTTGCAGGTGGAGGTAAACAGTGAACTATCCTGTTAGCAACCCAGGTCAAAGGTTGTTCTGAACTCCTCAGACACACAACCAGGCACAGCCAGTGCCAGAAGGAAGGTTGTCTTAAATTATCATCACTCATCCTTCTAATTTCATGACCAGGAAATGAAAGAAACAGGTTGGGAAGACAGATGCAGAGGTCCGCACCGCCAGGCCACTGCTCCTTCTGATAACCAGCTGAGTTCTCTTCCCCGGGGCACTTACTGGGCTCCCTCTCTGGGCAGGACACTGGACAAGGTCATCTGGAGACAGTGACAGAGGAACTCCCACGCTCTAGGTGTTCCCCGGACATGGACACGGCTCGGGGCACTGCAGTGTGGCACTTGCCACATCTGTCTGTGTGCCAGCCATGTGTCGGGATGTGGGGGAGGGTGTGAGGTGGCAGGCCTGGAGCCCTGAGCCCTAGCGGGTCCCTGCTTCCCCTCAGCTGCCTGCTTTCAGCTCTAGGAGCCCAAGAAGGCCGCCGGCAGTGTCCGTCGGGTCCCAGGAGTTTCCTTTCCATAAATCGAGTTGCACTGTTGGTGCGGACTGATGTGCAGTGAGCTCTGCAGTGGGCAGCAGGGCAGGCAGGAAACATGCTCTTCGCTGATGCCAATTTTTGCTCACCTTTTCAGGGGCCATGAGAAGAGACCTCTGGTGGGGTTCCAGCAGGCGGTGGGGGGGTGCGGGTAGCAACTATGGTCTTTTAGCTATTATCCCCCAAAGTTAGGAGTATTCCCCCAGGTACCAAGATGAGGATAATGAGCTGGAGTCAAGGAGGAGAACCCTTGGCCCTGCTTTAAGAGCTCTTGAGCCTATTACCCTTATTGCCACAGAAACACTGGCTTGCCCTGAAATATGAGAAAGGTAAACAAGTGACATTCTCAGTCCTGACGGATGGAAAGCCAGAGAGGTGGGGGCCAGCTGTTGGCAGCCCCATCCCTGGGGCCTGCAGGAAAGAAGCAAGGCCATGGGGCACTTGCTGAGATGAGCCAGGATGGAGGGGGGCGTGCAGAGTGCAGCAGGAAGGCATGGGATTCCCTGGCACCTGATAATTGGACTGGGCTAACATGGAGACTTATCCCCGAAACTCCCTCTTCTCTGCCAGGGCCCTCAGTTTGACCTGTTGGCCTGAACACACTTCCACTTCTGAGTTACACTTTCCCTCCTTTCCTGAAACCCCTCATCCAGACCAGCCATGGGCTCTGTTCTCCCCAGACTCATCATGGCATGTCTCAAGAAAACCAAAATAGTGGACATGGGCTCAGCTCTCCGGGGTGCTCTTGCTCTGCTTTGTGACCTTGTCTTGCCATGAGCCTGAGCCCGGGAGCTCTGCTGAGTCATGCCAGGGCCAGGAAGGGACAAGGTCGAGGGCCAAAGCGTCTGACTTCTCCCTGTCTCGGGAGCCGTCCATCCTTAACACAGCATCGCTGGTTCTGGCAATCTCATCCCTGCCCGGCAGTGAGGAACCCAAGAGCAGGCTGGACTGGTTGGAGGTCACCTTCAGATCTGAAGGACAGCGGCCTGGCGCGCTTGGCGGTCTGTGTGGCTGTTCGGTCAGGCCAGGAGGCCCCCCCAAGCAAGGGCGTATCTCATTTTGTGCTCCGTGTACTGTTGCATATTCAACATAGGCTTAGTTTTAATGACAGTAACGAAAATCAATAGAACCCAGCCTCCCAATCCCAAGTTCAGCACCCTTCACCAGACAGGCTCCTTCTGTCTTGCCTATAAAAACAGCACTAAAAATATCTTTTGTGTCCCCACCTTGCTATGTATGTATGAGGTGACCCCGTTAGAACAGCTGAGGGGTGAGGAGACAGCCAGGCCAAGGCCAGCGTCCTCCAGGTGAATGCCCAGCCTCCAGACAGCTTTGCCTGCCCCTGGGGCACAGAGAGAGACTGGAAACTACCTCCAGGCACCAATGATGGGGGACGCTGAGCTCAGGGACGACGGCCCCAGAGAATCCTGAGACAGGGTGCGCTCTGGACCAGGACATATGGGAAGAGGCATCTCCTGCGGCCACCGTGTGGGAAATCCAGATCCAGAAAATCTCAGAGCCCCATTACACACTCATTCCAACACCATCTGCCCAGCACCGACGGCGCACCAGGCCCTGGGCGGGTAGCGCATGGCACCTAATAAAACCAAAGCCCTGGTTCCTGAAGGGCTCCCTGGGTGGAGGGCTGGGAGGGAGCGTGACAAATCACGGGCTCAGGATTGGGGCTGGGTAGAGGGGAGAGTGAGCAGCGTCTGGGGAGTGGGGCAGGGATGGCTGTGGGGCTGAGGGCTGAGGGGCAAGCGGGGCGGGTGCTCTGGTCCAAAGGGGCCACTTACGTGATGCTTCAGGGGGCCCCATGAAAGGAGAGGCCGGAGAGGCATGTGCAAGTCAGGAGTGGGTTAAGAAAGCTCTGGCAAGCCAGGCTAAGGCATCGGGGGTGAGCTGCAGGCCAGGGAGATGGGGTGGTTGAGAAGGGGGAGCTCT